AGAAACATTCTGAACTCTCCCATGTACCACTTATCCAGCCCTAACTCTAGCTCAGCACCCCAAAGCATAGAACAGACTAGCACAGAACAGCTGCTCAAAAAATAGTTGATAAATTGCATAACAATGCTCTGAGGTAAATGATGCTTTTATTATCACCAATTTATGGACAAGAACTCTGGGACTCAGAGAGGTTAAGCTGCATGTCAAAGTCACCCAGTAGTGGATCCACTGTTCTAGCTCCCAGATCCAGCTCTCTTTTTCTAAGTTCCCACAAAGTCATTTGTTTCCCATACAACTGTCAAAGGGATCCTGTAAGGATGTAAATTAGTTCAAGTTACTCCCCTGCCCTCAATCTGCCAAGGCTTCATTCCCACTTGCCATAAATCAAATGAAAAGTTCTCTCCCTGGCCAGGAGGCCCTGCACATGATATGCAGGTTTCCAGGCCCTGGCCATCCCCACTACTGCTCCCCATCCTTCAGCTCCACCCAGCAGGCCCCTGCATTCCCTGCACTCTGCCTGCAGTCTCCGCCAGATGTCCACGTGGACTGGACCTCCACTTAGTTCAGGATTCTTTTCCTACTTCACCTCCTCAGAGAGGCCTTTCCTGCTCAGTTTACCTAAAGAGGCATCACAAACAGTTTTTAGCCCCTCATTCTGCTTTATGTATCCCAAATTATGCTATATGTAACTTGCTTATTGGGTATTTCCCTCTCAGAATAGAAGTTCCATGAGTTCTGATACTTCTCATAGTTTGGTCACTGCATTCCCCAGAGCCTAATATTCAGCAAATGTTTACTAAGCTAATGAATGAATGAATGAATGAATGAATGAATGAATGAATGAAAAGCATACTCACTCCATTATTTGATTTTGAGGACAGCAGTTGGCTTCTGCCCAGGACAACTTCCTATAGCCACAAAACTTGTACAATTTGTTGTTTAAGCACAGAAAGTTATGTCTTAACAGATTTGTTGAATATGGAGTTTCTGCCTCTGCACACATATATACTACATCATACCATATACCATCCCACATACTACATACCATATGCTGTGTACCACATACTATATCATATTATACAATATACCATATACCATATTATACTATATACCATATCATCTACATCTCATCTCATACACAGAACAGTTCCTATACTTATGCTATTCCTGTGTCCTTCGCCTTCCTTTCTCAGCCCCCTTCGCTCCCTAACAGCTCAGATTCCCAGGCTTTACGCCCTTGGATAGGTGCGGGCTGAATTACCATAGGCCAGCTAACTAGGGCATCTCAGGGGAAGTTCTCACAGTTCAGGAATCCAAAAGATATTTTTAGGGTAGAGGACAGTAAATGGGAGAGAGCAGAGCTCAAAGGAGCCTGGGTCTCTCTTCTTTACTTCAGATCTTCTCTGGATTCAGGATTACTCTAACAATACCTTCCTCATTTGTAGTGTTGTTGTTTTGGGCTAAATATAAGAGTATGTCACTAGTAAGACTTCTCCAAGTGGAATGAATGACCAGGGGAAAAGCTGGATGGGGGGATTTTCTGCATCACGGGAAGCCACCAGGCAGGGCAGGACCAGCTAGCTCAACATGGTGTCAGGAGCAGGCTGGAGTGGATGAGCTTTAGGGGCACTAACATTGCTAAAATGTTCTAGTGTTTGCCCTGTTTAATTGACTGCAGCTGCTCTTTTACAGGCTACTAACCATTAACTACTAACTATGCACCAGGCATACAAGACCATCTCATAATGACCTTACTGGATCTTCTTGTTCTTGCCTCTATCGGTTAGCTTTGCTGCATAACAAATCTGCCAATACTTAGTGGCTTAAAACAATCACCATTTAGTTGTTCACAATTCTGAGGCTTAACATTTTGAACTAAGCTCAATTGAGACAGTCTCTACTCCATATGATGGTGGCTGTACTTACACATGTGTCTGCAAATCATGCTGCATAAGAGTTTTAATATGAATGGGAAGAATTTGTGACAGCATTTGCGATCTGCCATACTTCCATTGTCTCAGAACAATGTCACATCTACAAGGAATGTAAGTCCAACTGGCAAAAAGAAACATTAAATTGCACAGCACACAGCAGCAACATGTTCTAGAAATTCTTCTTACCCACCCAACTCCCTCAAGTTTCAAACTTCAATGCAACTTTCAAAGCCTATTTCTATCTTGCACCCAGAATTCCAGTCCATGCTGACTCTTCAATTCCTCATGTCTCTTCCCCACCTGCAACATTCCTCCTGCCTTCCAGATAGTTTTTCTATCTTTTCCCTTCTTCCTGGTAGATAGCTCCCCTTCACTCATGAGCCTAATCATCACCATAAGAAACCATGGCAGAGAAATGCAAACACAAAATCCCTAAGAGGAATCAGGAAGGGTGAGTGACTGCATACATTTGTTTGTCATATACAGAGAAGAACACTAAAGTCTACCAAGACCATCATTTTTTGTGATGATGACTTTCAGGTTCAGAGTCATACGGGGCCTGAAGGGGACTATGAGCCACTGCTTTTTCTCAGACCTTACATTGTTATTGAAGACTATTTAAACAGTTCCTCTGCCCTGTCAGATTGCAATTACCAAGTTTAAGTTTATTTATTGTGCTGTTTAAGTATCTCAGCTTGTGATATCTAAATGCTGTGGGGACATATTTTAAAAGATAGAAGATGATTGTAACTACTAATGACCAAATTCTGCTATGTGCCAGTCTTTATGTTAGATGCTTTGTATTTGACATTTAAATTCATTTTTCTTCCCAAAAATCCTTAAAAGAAGGCATTATTGCCCAGCTGGTGTGGCTCAGTGGATTGAGCGTCATCCCATGGACTGAGAGGTCCCGGTTCAATTCCTGGTCAGGGCACATGCCTGGGATGCGGGCTCGATCCCCAATAGAGGGCATGCAGGAGGCAGCCAATCAATGCTTCTCTCTCACATCGATGTTTTTATCTCTTTCTCTTCCTCTTTCTTTAAAAAAAATCAATAAAAACATATCTTTTAAAAAAGGAAGGCATTATTACTCCATTTTATACTCCATTATTATTCCACTGAGAATTGATGCTCAGGGAGTTCAAAGTCTCTGAGGGAGTGGGGTCCTCCTGGTTTTCAGTCCATGGTCCTGACCCTGCTGAGATCTGGCTTCTTTTGAGAGAATATGTTCTTGATGGTCAAAGGATGCTTGGTAAAGACTTGTCAGAGCCTTTGGATCCCTGCCAAAAAGGTTGTATGGGATGACCAAGGGAGCGCCAGGCCCCGAGCAGAGCAGGAATGAGGGAGTCAATGCTAGGCAGGTTTGTACTTTGGTGCAGAGTAGCATCTCTCAACATGTGATCTTTGGTTGCTGACAGTCCCTGGTGGTCTGCCAATTACTTCTGGGCAGCTTGACAGTTTTACAGAATAAGATCGTAGAAAGAATGTGTTTATATACATTTAAATTTTGAATGTAAAATTAATTATAATTTTCAAAGAAATTCCACGTATTCTAAAAAATTGCTTGGCTACAAGGACTGTTGGCCAGGTCATCTCAGCTGTCAGTTTATACTTTGTCCTTGTTAACAGAGTTTGATGTTATTTTGGTCATTTCTGTTCATTAAATTGGTACTGTCTCTTATTTCAATTGTGTCTTCCATCTACAATTCACAGATGTGGAGTAGTGGTTGAAAAGTAGCTAGCTCATCAAGTATAAAACTAGTATTAAAAATAATAATGCTAAAACAACTCAGATAACATCTCAAAACAAATTTGGAGCCTGACTTTGGTGAGAATGTGAAATGTGAATGTGTACGCACTAGAGCAAGAGGGTCTCCAGTGAGATAATGTTGCTTAGGGGCCAACACTGGAAAGTACAGATAGATGCTGTGCTATCTATTATCAACTCTGCCAAGGAAAAGCATGAAACCCCTGAAGCTGTCATATCAGTTTTAAGACCCTGAGATCCCTTTGGTAAGCTTAGTAAGTTCCCCTAGAAAAAGTTCAAAATAATAATAATTTATAACAAAAATACATTCTGGTGTTTATGCAGAGCAAAAAACGACTGAAACAGCAGAAAGCACATCTAAAGTTGCATTCGCCGTAGCAAAAACAAGTGCAAACCACAGGATTCCTGGGAAGCCTGGGGAAAATGCTAAAGTTAATAGCAAATATTCTCAGAAGGAAAAAGAAAAATGACTTGGAATCTGTTTTGTTTTTTTTTGTCAAAAGATACAGTAGCGGCCCAGAGCTGTCTCTCCTGTACAGAGCTGGAGGGCAAGGCAGGTGATGGTGGGGTGAAGAAAACCACGGGACATCTGGGAATGTTCCTCCTGCTTAATGACTTCGAAGGACAAGTTATGCTCTGTGATTTGTAAAGGAAAAAGCACTCTAATTTCAATATAGTTCTTATCAAGACCCTATGTACTTACACTTAAATCATCACAAGCTTTAAAATGATTTCTATAACTGGCCACTCTAATTTACTCACCAGAAAACTATTAAGAACTTTTAAACCATAGTGTGGGCCTTTCTGGCCAGGGGCTAGCGGAGGGTCACTAGATTCTTTTAGCTCTCCCTCGGAGGCTCGGTGGCAAGTTCTAGACTTTCTCTCGGAGTAAAGAAGGAACACTGTCAGCCTTCAGGGCTTGGCAGTTAGAAAAGGCAAGATATGCATGAAGTGCAGCAAATGAGAGAATGCCAGGCCCTTCTGAACTCATGGAATTGAGCAGGAAAAGGGAAAGAGGGGTACGGAAAAGGTGGAGAAAGCAGGCATTTGGGGTCTCCTGGTTTATCTTCCTTCTTTGCCGCCTCTTCTTTGAAACCAAGCTTCGGTTTCACAAATGATCTGTTTTAATACTGTATTTGTTTAATTTGCTGTTATGAAAATTTTGTCAGTAAAAATCAATTGCTTTTAAAATTAAAAGTCTTATTAAATACATATTATTTTTGAAAGTTAAAATTTCTAAGATAAAATACCAAACTAAAAAAAAATTTTTTTTTCCAGCCAGTTTGTGTTTTATTGACCCATGATGCGCAGGCCTTGCCCGCGTACTGCCGCAGCGGGTGTAGCCGCTCCTTCCGCTCCTGCTGCTTGGTTTTCAGGTTTTCTTCATGCTTGTTGAGCCCGTGGCACCTGGCACACGTTTTCTTGGGCCGCAGGTCCAAGGGCTTGTACTTCTTGCCCTTGTAGAACTTCCTGAGGTTCTCTTTCTGAGTCTGGTTAATGACGGTAAGAACACCGGCAATAGATTTGCGAACAACTCGGATCTTAGAAAGTTTGGAAGCCGCGCCGCCTGTCACTTTGGCGACGCGCAGCTGAGACAGCTCGACCTTCAGGTGGTCCAGCTGTTTGAGCAGCTCCTCCTTTTTCTTGCCCCGAAGGTCTCGAGCCTTAATTTTGGCCATTACTGCAAGCCGCTACGGCCGACGCCTGCTTGGCGAGAAAGAGCCAGAAAAACTTTTTTAAATCATCAGGATCAGACACAGAAACACAACTAATTAAAATTATTTCAGTCTTTAAGTAAATCTTTGAAGAAAGTAAATAGAGATGTGGGAATAAAATGAAGCAATTCCAGATAAAAGTATAACATGCTGTATCACTGACAAGCAGGATATAATGAAATGCTTTAATTCCATATCAACCATTATTGATGCATTTCAAGAAAAACTGCAAGAAGAATTTCTATAGAAAAATAATGCATTAAACTAAATATATTTTCTGCCTGTCCAAGTACATGGTCATATGATTTGAACATTATATACCAGATACTCTTGTTGAAAATTCTTGCTGGAAATTATTCATCTCAAGAATGAGACTTTACCTTCTACAAATAATGCACATATAATGATCAGAAACTTATTACACACCAATTCTTCCCAAATAGAGAAATAAAATCACCAGATACTAATTATTTTATTCTATCTAAAAAACTCAGCATATTGTGTCTATTGTAAACTCTTTAGGAATGAAGAATGAAATGGATACAAAAATGGTCAGCCGTTGGCACATATGCTTGCTAAATACAAAATAAGTGAAATTCACATCTTCAATAATATTATTTAAAAGTAAAAACTATCTTGGAAAAAAATGTAACTGTCCATGCAACACATGAAAATGAAAAATAAATAAATAAAAAGATGGACACACTGAATGAATAATACACATGATAAAATTTTCCTGTAGGGAAATGTCTAATGTCAAAAGATGACTTAAAAACTTTTCTGAATATGATGATGGAAATTTTCTTCATTTGGCAGAAACCATGGCAAATTATAATAACATAATAACAGAATATTTAGCCCTGGCCAGTTTGGCTCAGCGGCTGGAGCGTCAGCCTGTGGACCAGAGAGTCTCGGGTTCAGTTCCCACTAGGGGCACATAACCTCCTCCCCCAAAAATATAATAACAGAACATTTACACATAACACAAGGATCAATGTGAAATATTACACATTATTTAGAGAATAAAGCACCAAACCCCACAGAAGTGCAATAGATGTGGTGAATAAAATAATTTTGAATAAGGCAAGAAATGTAAAATATTACGCATTAGATAAAAGCCCATATGTAGTCACATAGAGCAGACAATTATTGAACTCTGAACTTCAAAGACGCAAATACTCTGTATTCAAACATTTTGTGGGATTTTACCTAGCAGATGACATGGCTGATGAGGATTTATATATATTCTAAAAAAGACTAAAATCAAATTTAGACAAAAATATTTTACAAGCATAAATATATCTAGAAAATAGAATAGACTGCAACAGCAGAGCCACAAAACATTCTAAGGTATTCTACATTCCTTGCTTTGTACATTTTCAAGTATGTCACTGAACATTGCAGCAAAAATTTTTGACAACACTGAACTTTTTATAGTATCTGAGAACTACACAGCTACTTAGTTGTTTCAGTAAACATTGGATGTATTAAAAACACAATTGCCAAGCATAAATTTTAAACCATTATTAAATCTGAAATGAAAAGGCTGACAGGCCTCAGATTAATCCACTTAGAAATTATTGAAAATATAAAGAAAGATATGAGATTTTAAAATAGTTTTCACCTGCCTCAGCTGGTTTGGCTCAGCAGTTGGATCGTCAGCCTGTGGACAACTGAGGAATGAGTCGTGGGTGTGATTCCAGTCAAGGACATGTACCTCGGTTGTGGTTAGTCCCTGGCCATGGTCAGGGTCATGCAGGAGGCAACCAGTCGATGTGTCCCTCTCACACCAAAGTTTCTTTCTCTCTCTCTCCCTCCCACTCTATCTGAAGATAGATGGAAAAATACCCTTGGGTAAGGATTTAAAAAATAAATAAATAAATAAATAGCTGTCATCTGTATTTTCTCAGTACTAATTTGGAATTGTGTTTAAAGTAAAATTAATGTTATAAGCAAAGTGATGTAGTAACAAAAATTTAATGTACTAATGTTCATGAAGGCATCAAAGAAATTAAGACATTTTTTTGAAGAAAAATGCAGTGATTTTTAATGTTATTTAGGTGAAACAAATTGCAGTCTTCTGACACTGAAATCAAATTCTCTAATGTAGAATATACTAGAAAAAGGAAGAAGACTCATTTTGACTACAGATCCTATAATTTGTGACCCAAAACTACATTTCCAAATTAATTTTTCCTTTTTCCATATTAGATACAACAATATCCTTAAAAGAAAGTTATATGGAAGATCCAAGATGGCAACAGAGTAGGTAGAAACTACACTCATTTTCTCCTAGGACCAAACTGGAATTACAACTAAAATATAGAACAATGAACCTGAATAACCAACTGAAGACTAGCTGAACTGGAGTCTTATAACCAATGATTTACAGAAGAAGCCACATCAAGACTGGTAGGAAGGGCGGAGAAGTGAAAAGGGCTGGCTCTGCTCCCACAGGTGGCAACTGAGGTTCCACAAGGATATCTCAGCTGTGGGAAGTTTTCCCTGAGGAGTGGGTGTCTTAACCACATCCTGGGTTCCCCAGCCCAGAGCACCAGAGTTTGGAAGAAAAACCCACATAACATCTGGCTATGAAAATCAGCAGAGATTCTGTGTAACATGGAGAGACAGGAGCCTACTAGAGTCCCAGGCACCCTCTCAAAGGGCCAATCCACAAAATCTCATTCACAGCCACTCACCCTGTGCTCCTACAGGGGCAGGAAGAAGTAGACCAGAGTTGTGTGAGGAGAGATGGGGGCTTTTGGCTCTGGGAGAGAGCTGAAAAGACAGTCTCCAGGATCCCTGTGCTAAGTCCCTCTCCCAGACTACAGATGCCATCTTTACTGGGTGAAGCACCCCCCTCCTCTAGTATCAGCCTGGGGGAATGCAATAACCCTACCCTCTGGACTCCCTGTCACCCTGTATGGAGCTCACATGCTGCTGAGGAGTCAGCTTCCTGAGCAGAGGTGTAGAGGTCTGGGCAGAGTCAGGCGATATCAGTGACTGAGTTATATGACTTGGGAGGCAGAAACCACTCTTCTCTCCCTCCCCCAAGCCTGATCGGCATTTCCCCTCATGGGAGATCCACTAGCTCCAATCTCCCAACTCCCAGAAGCCCCACCCTGCTGAGCTTGCGCTCCTAGCAGAATCTGTGACAGATGGGGTTCTGTGGCTATAGGATGGGAGCCATTTTTCCTCACACACCCAACCAGGGCAGAACTCTCCCTTCACATAGCCAAATCTTGGTCTGTTTGGGCCTGATAAATTCTGCTAGCCTCACCCTGTTGATTTCCCTGCTCCAACACAAAGGTCTGAAGATGCCCAGTGAATGACAGTTAAACTTGGTATACACTGGGATTTTTGCAGAGTGGCCTCAGACCCAGCACTGGCACAAAGTTTGAACCTGTACCAGTCTGGTGAACACAACTCACCTCTACGTAGTGACTCACTGAGAACATTCCTCATGAAACTTGAGTACCACCAGAGGCTCTTTCAGTGACTGAGCCCAAAAGGCAGGCAGAAGGTAGAAGCAGGTGTAAGAGAATTTTGGGTTGCCCTGAAACTTTTTCTGACCTGCCCCCAAACTTGGAACTGGTGGAAGCCAGCCTTGGTGCACAGCTTTGTCCTTCCCATGCACACCCATGCCTGGCAGAGGCAGCTAAAAACTGTGAGTCACTTTGTAGCTCAAAACAGGTTGCCCAGGGCCCAGTCAAAGGCAAGATCTGACATTGACCTACAGCAGAGTCCCTCTCAAGAGGCCCCAGAAAAAATATGCCCAGTGGCCAGCTTCCGACAATATCAGAGCATGATCCAGTTAGCTTCACAAGAGGCATATCCAAAAGGAGATCTCAGTAAGCATCAGACACTACAGAAGAGAATTATTCTTAGTGTGGTTAACACCTATGCAGTGGCTTGTACATTGCACTCAAGGTTGATCCTCATAGTTAGCCAGGCTAAGGGTTGAACCCATGCACAAAAAGGTCAATTACAATTAAGACTCAATTACAACACAAAGGTTCACATAACCCACACAAGGACATTCCTGGAACATCAAGCTCAGGGGATTACTGGATCCCACAGGCCACCTAATATATTAGGCCACACTACCAAAAATGGGAGATGTAGCAGATCTACCTTGTACACAGAAAAAAATACAAAAAAAGCAGCCAAAGGGGGGAGAAAAAGAAACATGTCTCAAATGAAAGAACAGAAGAAATCACCAGAAAAAAAGAGTTAAATAAAATGGAGGCAAACAATTTACCAGATATAGAGCCCAGAAAAATGGTTAGAAGGATGCTCAAGGAACTTAGAACAACAAAAACTTAGTAACAACTACAATCACATGAAAAAGGACATAGAAACCATAAAAAAAGAAACAATCAGAAATAAAGAATTTAGATCAGAGAAAAAAATTACGGTGGAGTAAATGAAAGCTACAAAGACCGTCTCCCAGTTCCAAACTGGAATTATAACTAAAATAAAGACAAATCACCAGAAAAAAAACAACTGAAGAGTAGCTGGAGAGAACCCTTATAACTAGGGACTGAAAGAGGACACCAAATAGAGCCTCGTAGGAACTGTGGAGGTGCAAGGGGGCTGGCTGGGTCTCCACACAGCAGCTGAGGGCTGTTTTAGCTGTGAGCAGTTCCTTCTGAGAAGTTGGGGTTAAAATCCCAAGCCAGCTCCACAGCACAGAGGGATGGCCTCCCAACACAGAGTGATGGGACAGGGAAAGGTACGCACATAACACCTGGCTGAGATCTGAGGCTTTGTCTGGCAAAGAGGCATGGGAATCACTGGAACCTCTCTGAAGGGCCAGAGCACTAAATCAGCTACAGCCACTCAGACTAGACTGGAACTGTGTGAAAAGAATTGGGGCTTCATGGCACAGGAGAGAGAGCTGGGAAGAAGGACACTAAGAGTTTTATGCTGAATCACTCCTTTATAGGATAGTAGCCATATTACTCAAAGGGCCCCTTTCCAGAGCCC